AAGAGCAAAGTTCAATGTCATTGGCCACAGTAATGACATTTTTTAGAGAGGTGACTCGCTAGAAGTATTCGCCGTGAATCCGGACTTTTCATTCAAATTTATACAAGACTTACATATACTTGTTACTGTCAGGAAGGTTTAATGTTTTGTTTGTATTTGCACAATGTGAATGAGAAGTTTATTGTCAAAATATATACAGGTGCTTGTATGCCTATTGAAACTATACAAAATTCGACCAATGCACATCCGTTACATGTGTTAAAAGAACATTGCGATGTTCTCAAGGAATTGTTAAATCTTGGTATCATTCCCAACTGTCACCAAACTGTACGTTTTGACGAGTCGTATGAAATTGTAAAATTATATTTCAGGTATACTCAAAGTGAATCTCAGCACTGTTTATAAATGTCATGGTTTTGTTATAAGCAAGTCTCAGAAGTATTAGGGCAGGCAATTTGCAAACCCGCTAGCGAATTGGCCAACTGTGTGGGGTTTGATTAAACAGTTGGCTTTCGAATCTCGCTGGCACTGACTTGTGGGTGGGTCTATATTGCTTTAGGTGACATAGAATGTTTTACTTGGAGTGATAATGTAAAAGTAGTACGAGTGATTTATAATGTATATGGGGGCAGCCATCTTGAACATGGCTTGAAACCAAATAAAGAGACAAGTTGAGAAACAGTTTTCTACAAATCAGGGAGAAAATTAAATTTTCACGTGCAAACGATTCGTTGGGATAACATTGAGACAAAACCCAAACCGTGAATTATGCATAATCGCTAGCGAATTGGCCGCCTCAATACTTCTGGGACATGTTATAATTTTCTGGAAACTCTACAGCAAATCACATATGTTCTGTTATGCAAACCTTTTCCAGTTATTATGATTGTGTGCTTGACAGCTTTGCCCCACACACAATAAGACAGGGTGATATGTACTGACATGTGTGAGTATGTTTCATGGATTAATAGGCCACTCCTTTGCTTAAATTCCAACTATATCTCATTCTCTGGAAATATCACTTGCTGTTTATCATCCATATTTCGATATCCCACAATGTGTCGATTGCGTGTCTGGTAATTCTAACTAACTATTATTTCGCAAAATTTGACCAACCTTGCTTCTACCAGTCAACGCACATATTGTCCTTCTCAGTTAAGGTTAATTCAGATATATTGTAAATTACACAGAGGTAACACTACAATGAACTGGCCTCAAATTCAAAGTCACATCTGAGTTGCTTGGTGAAGATTGG